TTTACAGCCTGGGGGTCCATAAACCCGACAAGGCGAGCAGGTCGCGCACCGTGAGCATACCGTATACATGAAGAATCGCTTTAGAGAGTAGTCGAGCAGGAAAAACTGAAAGGAAAAAAAAAAGATAAATGTGTGTGGATGGTTGCTGCGGGGTGTGCTGTGTATCATCTCTTCGGTTATTTAAACTGTTGATGCCGACAACTGGCGTTGATAACACACAGCCCGTGGCATTTGGACTTTTCCTTTGTACGATGCATGTTCTGTAAACACTCTATAGTTAAATTTGACTACAAATCGGTCAAACGTACACCCAGCTGACCCTTGAGGGCGTCAGCTGGGTGCAAGTTCGACTGTTGTCTAGTCAAATCAATCTAGTTGTTTGTACAGTGTGACGTCATCAGTGTACACCATAGACACAACTCTATGCAGATGAGATAAATTTCCCCAATTTACAGTTGAACAGAACCCATAACGAGCAAAGTTGTAGTGATTTTACGTTCACCATAAAACAGCATATGCCGAACCACAGGTGGCGAGTGAAATTGGAATTTTCCAATAACCTCATTCAAACATCAAAATAGGTTTGTATATTTTACACCAGTTGCTCTAAAAATGTCCCCCCAAATCAATTTGTATATGCATGCATGATCGCCCCCACACACGCGCGTATACACATATCGGTATTTAATATGAGCTTGGCCGGTTTCAAACAAGCACGTTTAAAACCGGCTATATGGGGCCTGACGCGGATAATGGCTACTGCTGAAAATCCCATTCATAAATACCTTTCTGTCAAAAAGTCAAAATAAGTCAAAAATTCACAAATTTCCAACGATTTTGTTCAACAATTTTATTTCATATTTTGTGAAACACCACTCTAGCTGTGTTTACGGTGTGTGCATCGTTCGAGTAGTACAACAAAATTCCTTATGAAGAGATTGGCGCGCTGCCGGACCGTACTGCTCGATGTGGCGCAGAACGCAGCGGTGTTTTATTGGCGGTTTGAATTTGAAACCACCCACGTGGTGGGCTCTCGACCAATAGGAATGAGTAAACTGTCTCAGGTATTTATGAATTACGTATAAAATGCAACTACACGAGGCAAGCATAGTAAAGGTTGTCTCAGAGCGCTCTCAACCATGAGGCGCCCTTTATGACCTTATTGGGAAACAAATAATTAGGCCTACAGAAGAAAAACAACAGATGTAGGACCAAACAAATAGGACGAAACAAATAAATATAGGACGAAACAAATAAATATAGGGCGTAATAAAGTCATAAATTGCGCCTCATAGTATACTTTATATTCAATTATGGATTCATAGTGGGTAATTATTAGAAGTCTTTTGTGCATCTTGTCCGCTCCACAATATAGGCAGGATACAGCCATTTACTGGCTTTAAGGTGTAATTCTACACAACAGCATTACCCAGCTCGATCTTAGCAAGTGACAATCAAAGAGTCAGTGATATCGGAGCAGAGAGGACACTAAGCCAGCCCTCTGGGACCAGCACAAAATGTTTCCATGCGCGATCGAAGACGAAAATAACTCGGACACAAAATTACCAGCTAGTCTGTCAATTCTCGGGCGGAAGTGAAATTATAGTTCTCGGAAACACTGTCACGGCTTAGCTCAGCCAACTGAGACATCGTCGAGTCAGCATCTTCAAGACACGACCCGGTGATACCCTAGCTTTGACACCTCGTTAATCCCATTTCCCTCCTCCTGCTATCCTCCTTCGCCTGACACTGTGAGGAGAGCCCAAATCACTCATCAGTTTCTCCCTACCTCCCCTCAACGGCAGACACAATAACACCTATGCCGTGAACAGCAACTGTCTCGAGCCTAGCCCGGCTCGGGGATTCACGGGCGGCATAGTCGAGACTGCGCCGCTGGGTCATTTTGTAACCGCGTTTGTCACGTCTGCTTTGACCCCGTTTTGTTCGGATGGATTCCAAATCGGTCGCGATGTCGACACGGGGCAGCTTTATCCCAGAAGGACCCCCGTTTTAAATTATTTCCTGGGCACGCATTAACACCCTCCCTTCTAACACAGAACCGTAAATCAGCTGGATAGTGCATTATTGACGACACTGTTTTGACACAGTTCGGAGTGTCAAGTTACATTTCAACCATGTGCGTATCATTAATGTTCTGACCGATCTCATCGAAAACAAAATCGCAGCCGTTTGAAGATGAACATCAAAACAAACGGGAGTGTCAAATATAACAAATGAAGCTGGTTCTTACTTCAAATTGGGGTGCTGTGGTCCAATGGTTACGGTGTTCGATTCGTGTGCCGTGGTACATGGGTTCGAATCCTGACCGTGGGGACATGGTGATTGTGCTCTTGAGCAAGGCACTTTACCATTATTGCTTCGTCCTTCGGATGGGGCGTAAAGCCGTAGGTCCTGTGTGTTGTGTAATGCACGTTTAAAAAACCCAGTGACACTTATCGCTAAGAGAAGAGGTTTTCCCCGGTGTTTCTGGCAGTGGCTGCAATATGCGCCGCAGCACCTTAAAAGGTGCAACATAATGGGTCTCATATTTCTCATATACTTTATTTACCTTTCTATAATAATAGACATTATTTCCAGCGCCTTGAGTACCTAATTGTTGGTAGAAACGTGCGCTATATAAGACTCCGTTGTTATTATTATTATTATTATTAAATAAATTATCATTTTAAAATATCTTCCTTATTTTTGAGATGGTTCGTTTTGACACATTATGTTCACAAAGTGTAATGATTATCGTTCATTGTTAATGAACAATAAAATGAAAATGCACACTCTGAACCCGATAACATTTTGTCGCATAATTCGTTAAATGACAAATTCCAATGTTTATGTTGTGTACACTTCACACCTTTCAAAGGCTCTTAATCATACTGGTACGCAGTTTCATCTGCACAACCGCAATCCAAAAATTGGGATTCCCCTAAAACAAACCCTATTACACAACGCAAACAAAATGCTTTCATTTTTCAGAATTTTCTCCATTTTTTTTCGAGGAGTCATTGATGAAACAAAGGTCGATACTTTCATCTGTCAATCATTTACTCAGTGTCCTGCGGTCGCTTCTTCCAGCCCGTAGCATCTACCGGCTTCGCATCCGCTCAACAGAGATTATCACTCTACGATAACTACTTTCTGCACACCTTGCTAATATTAACGAGTATTTGTTCAACTGTAATTACCGTCGTTTATAAGCTGGTAGATTTTTTTTCAGCACGTAAGAATGCTTGAATCACATGTTACTCAATAACATCGGCGGCCATGCATATACACACTAATTTGAAAGGGAAATTTTCGTTAATTTTTGCCTATAAAATTCGGTTCATACATAGTCTGAGTATCACCCGTTATCCACGGAGCCCAGTCTCCTGTATAACGTCTGATATATCTAAGCATGCAGATTTATGCGATCCCGCGCCTCAGCCAATCGGAGTCTGCTTTACTAAATCGTGACGTCATTTCATTCCCAAATCAGAACTAACTGTCTGATTGGTCAATTCGGATGCATTGTTTTGTAATACAACAATTACGGCCGGTCATATAGATCGATAAAACCTAGACAAACTTGCGCGTATCGCGTAACATTAAGAGCGCGTGACCACAGCCTTTGTCAAAATCTAGAGGTCAAGAGGCGGTTGTCTTGCATAATTAATCAGCGAATCTGCTCACATTATTATAGACCATGGTCTACTCGGTGTGAGCGCGAACGCAAACGCGAACTTGTGACGTCGAGGCAGGTTCGGGTGTTCGCGCTGTGAAATTGAAACCATTCCAGCTCTGACGAATTTCGCAGGGGATAATTCCTGACGTCATATTGGTCTCGCAATCGCAATCACGTGAAATATGACCCGGCATTCAGGCCAGCAGACAGAAAATCATCGGCCTACAGAAAACTCGATGCAAATTCATTTGAAACAAAAAAACCGTACATAAACATCCCATTAATAACCACAATTGAGACAATCCGGCGCCATTGTATACGATGAGGCTAGTATGAACACCATTGCCCAAAAGTTTCCACATTCAACACACAAAAAACCGAAGAGAAACTGATTGTTTCCAATTCCTTTTTGTTTTATTTACTTTGAGACTGACCATGCATATCGTCCGGAAGGAATTTATTCGTATTCTGTCTGCTATATTCTGCATCATTTATGAGTCAAGTTGCCTCCACAAGTCGATTAGGTTGGTTCTCATAAATCATTAAGGGTCGCAGTTGTTCTAGATCCGTCATCGTCACGCGGCCCAGAAAGGAAAGATATCATCCGCCGCCCGGCCGCCTCCCTCCCCCCCCCCCCCACCCACCCACCTTCTCCACGATGTATTTAAAAGCCCAGATCGGCGCGGCTGGCTACTTTGTAATGACGAGACGTTCTTTCACGTCCGACTTAACGTGTAGTGATTGCATCGGCACGTGTGCCCGGGCGTGATGAGGGGTCGTGATCGGTCAGAAGGAGAGTGAGACTAATGGAGATTGCGAAGACGTAGAGACGAAGATGTCGGTCATGTGGAACGCGGACATGCCAGCTGTCGGACCGTGTCAAGCTGACCGATTCCTTGACCGGAAAGACGGCCGTGACTGTCCCGTTGACCGAGCTCGGTGATCGTGGTGCGAGTGCGTTTGACTTAGCCGGAAATATAGCGAAATAATTTTACTTCCAAGACAACAAAAATTATCTGAGAATCGGTCACAAGTATCAACGACCAACAACATGGATCATATAGGTGCGGAAGCCGCAGTAATTAATCAACATAATGAACAAAAACAAACAACCGGCAGAAATAATACCAACATCAAAACAGCACACTTACGTCTAAGGTAAGCCATGTCTGAATTGCTTGGCTACGGCTTGAAATTGCACACGGGTCTATGTGAAGTGGCTGCAGCCACTACCGTAGACTCGTGTGTAATTTGAAGTCGTAGCCAAGTAATTCGGACACAGCCATACAGTAATGACATGAAAGGTGCTCGGTGCCCTTACCTCTCTAGTGCGATGGCCGTCATGGTGTATATGGAACATGTCGGGGACACGACGCTGATGAAGGGCATGATTCGGCACACGGCTCCACCCAAAGGCCAGTGGTCCAGAATCTCCACCACCAGTTTGATGGGAAGCAGCAACAGGACCAAGAGAAGGTCCGCCAGGGCCAGGTTGGCCAGGAGAAGGCTGGTGGCCGTGTGGAGCCGCCGGCAGCGATGGACGGCGAAGATGACCATGGCGTTCCCGGTCAGCCCCAGCAGGAAGATCAGAGCGTACGCCCCGGTGGCCGGCCCCATGGTCGTCCAGTCGATCTCCTGGACGTAGTCGGCAGAACTGTAGGAGTAAGACGCGGACTCCGAGTCTGGGGTCCAGTTACCGGCGGCGGAGGCGGTGCCAGCGTCACTCTCTCCCCCGGGGCCCGAAGGGGAGGCCCTGGGTTCCTCTCCCGCCATTCCGCGGAAAGTTTTAGCTCACCCCTCCGTGGAAACGTCTCAGGAAACAAGGCGAGACCGTCTCAGCCTGTCATACTCACTGGGAGAGATGCACCGATCCGACAGGCAAGTCGTCATGAACGTCTGGCCGGCCTCCTTACTGAAGCCGAACGCTCCTCTCCTCTTCCTTCTACTGCCTCCTTGGACGCTATTGCATCTGCGACAGAAGCATAACAATCATGAAAATACCAAAAGCTATCCATCTTACCACCCAACAGCCGGACGCTAGCCGCAAAGGCAAACACCGCATCCAATCCCCTGAAATTAGAACCCAAATCTCCATGAACTTTCGTTTGCGGTCGTTGATTAGTAATATCCTTCAAACGGAACAGGACACACATACCACGCCGACGCTTTTTGTATGGAATAAAATAAAAAAATGTTTCCATTCGGGTGTTACTTATTAACCCTAAGTAGTTTGTAATTTATCGGACCGATCTGTTACTCTGTCGCATCCAATTATCCAATTTCGCGTCGGATGAGATTTCTCCCGTGCCCGTTGAGCCGAAAGAAATGGAATGTGTTCAGTCCCAATCTAATTATCTCGGTAACATGGGACCAGAAGATCAGATCGTTCTCCGCATGGATGCCCCCATCAAAAAAAAATCAGCTAACTGACTCGATTCAGCTATCCAAATTCGGTTAACCAAAACGATTTTCGTTATGAAATCCGTTCAGCAGACAGACTCGATTCAGTTAACTGGCTTCATTCAGCCAAGCTAAACAACTCGATTAAGTTGACTTCGTTCAGCTAAGCAACTCGATTTAGCTATAACTAACTTGGTTTAGGTAAGCAGCTCGATGTAGCTATGACTAACTTGGTTTAGCTAATCAACACGAATCGGCTAACCAACTCAGTTCAGCTAAACCAACTCCATTTTGCTCAGCCAACTCGAGTAAACTTTAACGATGTAAATAACTTGGTTTAGGTAACCAACGCCAACCAACTGACCACCTGGATTAGGCAAGACCAACTCGAGCTAATTAATCAACTCGATTTACCTAACCAACTCGATGAAACTTGCACGATATAACTAACTGGGTTTAGTTAACTAACGCGAATTATCAGCTAACCAACTCGATTTAGCTAACCACTTCGATTAAACTTACACGATATAACTAACTTTGTTTAGTTCACCAACACGAATGAGCTAACCAACTGGATTCTGCTAAACCAAATCGATTCAGCTAAACCAAGTCGATTTAGCTAACCAATTCGATTAAACGTACACGATATAACTTACTTGGTTTAGTTAACCAACACAAATCAGCTAACCAACTCGATTTAGCTGACCAACGCGATTCACCAACTCGATGAGGTCCTAACGCCCTCCACACACAAGCTGGACAACCACGACAACTAATATAGCTTTTGCAAGCTGTATGTTAAAATACTTTCACATACAATGTTTGCAACAAAATGCTTTCGATGACGTTTGAATTTAATGTTTAACATTCTCGGTCTATTTTGGGTGTTTTCTTTGTTAATGTGAACAATGTATAATTCGTTAGTGTTCCTGGAATGCCAAACTTGTAAGTTATCTGGTATTTCACACTAGATGACACGAAGGTCCAAGATTCTGTGTTTGGAGTGCTATTTGAAGGGTTTTGTGGTTTAAAATACGACGGTGTTGGACGGAGCAATGATAAATGTCTGTCTGTACGTAATAGCAAACCTCTTATAGAGGGTGAAAGTACAAGAGTTGCGTAAGTGCGGTTAAACCTTCACAGCAAACTTTCAAAATAAATATGATTAATATGCGATACAAACACCCATGCTACACCACAGACGAAACGTAGATTGATTTCGAAGGGATTCGAAGGGATTTTATCTGATGAGCGTTTGTACAGAAAATCAAAGTTCACATTAATATGTATTACCCCTGCTCGCCTGGCCTATAAAAAATGGTGAGTATGCAGCTCGAAGCTGCCATTTTGGGGCAACCAGATTATCATACCATAACAATCTCTTCGGGTACCCATTTTAAGCAAATCACGATAAAACGTCCTGCTTGAGGACACACTACCATACTCGTTGCAAGGCCGGACTGGAAACAATAATCCACAGAGTGATCAATTATGGTTTAGAGTTCAAAGCACCAAAACAAAATGACAAACCTGCCAAGTTTTGAAGAAAAAAACAAAGCAAAGAAAAACATTAATAATTAAAAACAAAAAATAAGTGCGAGTGCACAATAAGCATGAAATCGATCAAAACGATCCCTGCCAGAGCTGAAAAATGCGACGCCGAAAATGTTACGCCGATGGCACATGTGAAACACCATACTTTTGGGCAATTTTGAGGACAATCAGACCGACCGCCACCAATTAGTGCCTACCAGAGCTTAAAACAGCCATGAGGCAAAATGTCGTGCGATACATATTGCTCAAGTTGTAACTAGTTCTCACATTCATTTTGCTTAGCACATAAACTCGCTCCATAAACATCCACATAGACCTTCTGCTTAGCACTGCATCAAATTGGAACCAGACCACAAACCCATAGCACTGCCCCATACCAACATACCACTCAAGACATCTGGAGCAAAACAGTATTAAAGCACATGAAGGAGATGCAATTGCTTTTTCGACTCGGGACGAATCATATTTGTAGAAGTATCAATTCGTATTGAGTCGTGACGCCAGACGAACACACTGGATGCGTCAAAGAGACCCATAGGGACATGGTGTACCCTGATGTGATTGAACACACTTCAACATCATCTTAATAATTAATGAACGTTTCAGTTTTCCCGAAGTTTCATATTCATCCATGTACAGTGGCGTTGCAAGGTCATTTTTTATTGGGGGTGGGGATGGGGTTGGGGTGGGAGGGGGCTGGGGCAGGGGGTAAGACGTGAGAAAGGGCACTCCTCCATCCGTGCTGAAATGTTTAGACAGGTTGTTTTTTCACGGTCACTTAGCCTCCGTAAAATCAAAAAGTGTGTGGTGGGTGGGGGGGGGGGCTGATACCATCTTCCTATGGGGGCGCTGTTCAGACCGGACGATCATGGGCACAATCGGACAATAGGTTGCACTTTTCAGGGCGGCACAAATGCCGACGTTCGCGCAAATTTCCAAAAAGGGCACTCGTAAAAGATCGCTGGTAAAAAAGGCACTTGTGTTAAAAAAAGGCACTCTTTAGAAAATATAAGGGGGGTACTGCAAGTGAAAAAAAGAGACATGGGTACAGAATGGTACTGTTAACCTACCCCCCCCCCCCCCATCCGCCCCCCCCCCCCGGCTTCGCCCCTGATGTACCACGCACTTAAATTAGAACTGAGAGCCACGATTGTGTCAAAATTAAATAAAGCCTAAATTCGAAAAATTAAATTCAAATTTCCTGCCCCGCCCACCACCCCACATCACCCCACCCCCACCCCACATCACCCCACCCCCACCCCACCCCACTCCACCCCCACCCCCATACCACTCCACCCCACTCCACCCCATCCCCAGCACCAAAAATATATGTAGAGAAATACATAAAGGTTTCTTCCCGCATGCCAAGATATGTAAGACACGAAAGGTATCAATATCTTCCTTTTTTCCCCAAAATGTCTTTCATCGTGTTCAGCGCCTCATCTCAACGGCACTGGGTATCTAAGTAGCCAATATGATCCCTGCTTTATGCTTTTCAACACGAGACCCTTTGCCCATAAGACAGCAATTTCATTGTACGATCTTTCCGTGCAACCGCACGGTAACTGCGCGCTATAAGCCACTGGCAAACGAATTCCTCACTTGCCAAGGATAACCGAGAACATCTTCTTACAAACTGAGGCGTTAAAACGGTAGCCGAGTAATTTTCTTTCAAAATTTCCATCCGGACATCGAATGATTTCCGGGTCAAAAATTTACTAAGGATTGAAAAAATGCATGCAACATCGCTCGTTGTCTAAAAATAGGTCTCGACGCAACGTGCGCGCGGTCCACTACTGTTCAATTAAATTTGTTTTTACAGATATACAATTATTACCCTCGTGCCTACGGCTGGAATTCCCGTACTGATATAACAATGATACCTTATGCTAATTGGTGCACGCGTGGAACAATTCGGCCCTTCTACCGTGAGAATCGAATTGCATTTTCCCGGTAATCAGAGGAAGAAGGTGACACGGTTGCGCAGTGTCATCACAATTGCACGCATTCTCAGTCTGTTGCTTTATTTTGCCATTTTTCATGCTTGGGCTGAGGACTCTAAAATTAAAGGGTCCGTGAAATGAATTCTTTGGAGCCTTGGAGGAACACATTTTGTGCAACTTTCTACTCCTTTTAAATGTATGAAAACTATTTGACATCCTTTTTTTGTTGTGATGTCATTTCAGGAAAGACACTGTTCAGTTCAGTGGTTTTCTGTTCAAATTGTGAACCCAAAAAAAATATTCTCATTGAAATTTGTGAGAAAAGTTTGCTCACTGGCTTACTGCCATGTACCGACACAACAACGAATCACAACAGAAAAGAAAATTTAGAACAGGAAAATATCCACATTTTGCGGCAACTTTTGGTGCTGAAATAGCTTTAAATCGAGGTTTTTGTCTAAATGACATCACACTTTTGCTCATGAATATGGATATTTGCATTAGCACATAATCAATAAGGCACCAAAATACCTTTGAAAAAGGCAAAACAAAAATTGAAAATGGGATACAAAGGTGCATTTTCAAGGAATGCTTTTGAAAAAAATTACATTGCATTAGCCCTTTATGTGACACAAAACACTCCCGTTTAAGAGCATTTTTGCAACAAATTAAAGCCTTTTTTGTACATAGCATAGACGTGCGTTAAGGCGGAACTGCAGGAAAAGCTTTGGTATTGCTTTAACAGGCACGACTAAACGTTTTATTCTAAATCATAGTAACGAAGAACACCCTTTGATGTGATACCTCAGGTCAATCACGACGTTGAATAATAGTATTAAAACGTGCAAATCCAATAATTAAACATGTATCTAATTTTGGCATGATCCTACCAAAACATTCAAGTGAACTTTAAAAACAGATTTACGACTCACAAACCAACAACAGCAACCATAAAAATACTACAGCTATAGATATGGGGAGAGGCTACTCTTAAAGACATCACACTCTATCCCTTAAAAACGAATAATGATTTTAAGGTTATTTTGTCCAAGCTCCGTACCAAACGGCGCGG